TACCTTCGCTGAAGATGCTTTTTGAAACCAGTCCAGACACTTGCTCAATTGGAAAATGTCTTCTTGGGATCTTATTATGACTGTAATGTCATCAGCATAAGCAATAAGCCTTACTACAGTAGTGTCCGATATATTGGGGTTGAGGACTGAAATACCTTGCAGTTTTTCTCTTAGAACTCTCAATAAAGGTTCGATAGATATTGCGTATAGGAGTCCTGAGAGGCTGCATCCTTGTCTTACACCTCTGCGCACAGGAAAAGTTCTTGTTAGTGTTCCGTTTATCTTCATCATACTAAAAACATCAGTGTAAAGGATCTTGATCCATGAGATGAAATGATCTCCAAATCCGAAGGCTGCTAAGGCATTAAAAAGGTATTCGTGGTCGACTCTGTCGAACGCCTTTTCCTGGTCAAGTGATAAAAGACCAACATCAAGCCCATAAATCTCAGTAAACTGCAACAGATCTCGTACAAGAAAAAGGTTATCAAAGATAGAACGTCTTGGGATACAATAAGACTGGTCTTTACAGATTATTGAAGCCATAACATTTTTCAGGCGGTTTGTTAATGCTTTTGAAAGTATCTTATAATCTATCCTAAAAGGGAGATAGGCCGCCAGTTCTTCAAAAGTCCTAGATCTCCTTTCTTTGGCAGTAACGTAATTATTGCTCTTCTACAACTGAGAGGAAGGATTCTTGATTTTTCACATTCAAGAAACACAGAATGCAGATCTGGTCCAATCAATGACCACAAAGCCTTGTAAAACTCGGAAGTCAGTCCATCCAGTCCTGGAGATCGTCCCACAGACTGCTGTATAGCAGCCTCACTCAACTCTTCAAATGAAAGTGGTTTTTCTAATTGTGTCTTCTCATCTTCATTCAGTTTTGGAATTCCAGTAAGAAAATAATCTGTTGCTTCAGAATCACAAGTTTCAGCACTATACAGTTCTTCATAAAAAGACAAAACTTGTGAGGTAATTTCTCTCTTTTCAGTTGTTTCTCTTCCATCAGACAGTTTTAGATGAGTAATTAGCTTATTTTCTCGAACTTTTTTCTCCAAAGCGAAAAAGAATGTTGTTGAAGAGTCCATGCTGTTAAGCTGAGTAAATCTTTTTTGTGCCATTATGCCATGATCTCTTTCTTCATGCAAATTTTTCAGAAGAAAAGTATGTTGTTCCAGCAAATCTGCACTTGTTCCAGTGCTTTCACTTATGGAGCTGTTCAATCTCATCATTTCTTGTTCCAAGTGTTCGATTTTCTTCTGAATTTCTTTTGTATTATTTCTTACATACTGTTGGCAAAAAGACTGTATATGGATTTTTCCGATATCCCACCACTGACTCAGGGACTTAAACTCTGTCTTTCTCTCTCTCCAAGCTCTCCAAAAGAAAGCAAATAAATGCACAAACGTGCGATCTCGTAACAGAGTATTATTAAAAACGCCAATAAGATTTAAAAGTATTACTCGATGTTGTAACTACAACAGAGACATAGAAATGATCAGAAATTGGATTAGGAACAATATTACAATCATAAAAGTTTTCTCTTCGACATTTTTGAACATATATTCGATCTAATCTAGCGCCCGATATTGTATTGGAATTAACCTTCAGCCATGTATACTGCCTACTTTTGGGGAAAGATTGTCTCCACACATCTACAAGAGAATAAAAATTAACCACTTTCTTAAGAGCTTCAGCAGAATTAGGATGCGGTTCGTCATGATTCCTATCAACTGTATTATCAAGAGTACAATTGAAATCCCCAGCCACAATGATCAAGTTATCACAAGGAATACTAGACATTGCGTCCTGTAATTTCTTAAAAAATAAAACTCGTTCATACCCAACATTAGGCGCATATATATTAATAAAAGAAAAAGACAGACCTTGCAAAATAATATCCACCCGCTGCATTCTTCCAGGAATAATTTCGATCATATTGGAAGCATTACCCTGAACGCTTTCCGATATGAGAACAGCGACTCCAGCACTTACACTGGAACCATGGCTAAGAAATACCTGTCCTCTCCATTCACTTAGCCATTCTGCCTGGTTAAAACCATCTGTGTGTGTTTCTTGTAAAAAAATCACACTTGACTTTTTAAAAGCCAAAAATTTGAAAAGTGCATTTCTTTTTTCTTTATTTCGACATCCATTCACATTTAACGATCCGATATTTAAGGATGTCATAATATCTTAAACCAGCAGGTGATATTTATACAACACTGTCTTTCTCGGAACTCCTAATGACTATTTTTTTCGTATCTTGACAAATCATCTTCTTTACTTTAGTCATAATTTTTTGAGACGATAACGTTTTTGTCTGCTAAACTCTTCAATGGTTGTATTTATCATGACATCTCTACAAGATGCTAAAAAACTTCTTAAATCTGGAAAAAAACAATTCAAATTGTGGGTTCCGTACACCTTTTGTTTCGTCAAGGAAAGCACTAATCTCTTTTGTAGAATAGATTTTTATTTCACAGCCACTCAATTCTGATGTGCCTGTTTGAGAGTCAATGTCTCCCATAAAAAAAACTCCCTACACTCTCAGTCTCACATTCATCTGAATCACTTTCAGACCTGGCGCCACTAGAGCTGGCTGTAAATGACTGACTACAACTTTCATTTACTTCTGATTTTTCATCATTTTTGCAATTTGTTTCTACATACTCCATCATTTGAGCTTCATCTCTGTTTTTGACCTGAGAAGTAACTTTTTGTGATTCTGTACTTTCATTTTGTTCCCCTACAGCATTAACACTTGTAGAACCTATGCCATCTCCAGTGTTTTCACTATTCATCTCTACATTTCTCTCAGCAACTTCGTCTACCTCGCAAACGGCCGCGTTGTTTTCTGCGACCGCATTTTTCCCCTTATCGGCCGCATTCTCCTGAACAGCCGCGTTTTTTTCTTTATCGTCCGCATTTTTCCCCTTAACGCCCGCATTCTCCTGAACACCTGCATTTTCCTCCGGAACAATTATTTGTGAATCTGCCAAGATGTTAACGTTCTGTTGTTTGGGACATGTCTGTTTCTGGTGTCCATGTTCACCACATAAAAAACAGCGCAAATTATCTGAAGTGATAAAGATTGTATAATCTTTACCATCAACTGCTATTTTTAGCACCAGATTGAGCGGCTCATTTTGTGAATTAGGTATCATGTAGGTGAAACGTCGGAAAGACATGACATGTTTAAAGTTTGGATTTTTAAGACCCAACGGAATCATCTTAATTGGAGCAGTTAATTTTCCGTAGCGCTCAAGAATTCCTTTCAAAGTTCCTTCTTTTATAAACGGTGGTACGTTTGAGAGTACAACTTTCTTAGAAGGATTTGACAAAGGCATTACCAGCAAGAATGTATTATTAACAATAAGTCCTTTCTCTAACAGTTCATCGACCATTGAAACTTCCTTAAGAAAAATGACAAGTGCTCTATTCATCCTTGAGGCAGATTTAATGTTTAAACCACCGACCTGTTCGCCGATCGCTATCAGTACATCCTCAATGGACGTAGAGTCATCCGGTGTACACTTGCAACCATGGTCGAGGGTCAAACGGGAAAATTCACTGCCTAACTCCATACCTGCGCGCGCAAAAATGCGCTGACCGTAGTCAGCGCGCTGCAATTTATTTATTTATTTTACTTCAGTTTAATAATTAAAAAGAGAAAAATAGAAAAACAGAGAACGCCGAAAAAACAACGTGCTCTAGTGCAAACACTCTCACGCGCTACCCACAATCCTCAGAGAGAGAGAGAGAGAGAGAGAGAGAGATTTAAGACACCTTTATTAACTAACTACACAACATTAAAAAAATATATAAACACTACATTAGCAAGAAATCAAGAAATCACCTTGACCTACTCAAATTCTTCAATAAAGTGCAATGTGTCATTTTCAATCCAGCACAACATTCTTTGTACACTCCACATATCTTCAAAGTTTTCCAATTTTTTCATATGAGAATAAAAAATAAAATCATGTTTTATCCTTGCTTTTATGAGCCCCTTAAACAACAATACAACATTTGTAGGCCTACTATTGCCAGCAATTTCATGTTTCCTACTAATATAAACTGCCATTTTGGCTTGACCCAGAATAAAGTTTAACAACCGTCCTTTCTTCTTCTTTTTTTTACAATATTTAAAACCAAAAATAAACACAATCATTGTAAACACTTCATTAACATTAGTAAATAAAATCTCAATAAACCAAATAAAGGTCTTAGTCTCTCACAATGCATAAAACAATGAAAAATGGTTTCTCTTGCCCCACAAAAAGGACAACTATCTTGCACATTCGGATTCAACAATGAGATAAAAGCATTTATAGCAACAATTCCATGTAAAATTCGCCATTGAAGATCACCCACATGTTTAGTCAATGGTGGTTTGTAACAAGAGCCCCAGAAAGGTTTGACATCAGAATCAACACTTAAATGGTCTCTCCATGGTGTATCCATACGTTTTAACTTCTCATTATTTATCACCTTCACACAGACATTATATAAACTCTTTCCTCCTATTGTGTCGAACATTATATCTCTCACATGCTCTGAGGTTGACAAAACATTTTCATTTTCTATAACACTTTTGGATATCACCATACGCGGAAAATTGTCTGTTTTATCAGGAAGAGCTTGACTTGACAAAAAGTTCAGAGAGAGAGAGAAAGAGAGAGAGAGAGAGAGAGAGAGAGAGAGTCATAGAGAGAGAGAGAGAGAGAGAGAGAGAGAGAGAGAGAGTCATAGAGAGAGAGAGAGAGGGGGAGAGAGAGAGAGAGAGAATGAAGAAAATAAGAGACTCTTTATTCTGTAAAGTCTCATCATCTTCATCAGCAAATAAAACAGACAGACAAAGAGAGATCTTCATCTTTATTTCACCAGATCACAAAATACTAAGGTGAAAATGTTTATACAAATATAATGTTAATGTGTTTTAGTTTAAACAGTTGAAGTGATTTTAAGCATTTTGATTCTATGTGAATGTGACTGACCTCAATCTCTCCAGTTTACAGTGTGAATCCTTCAGTACGGCACATAACTGCTTCACTCCAGAGTCTCCTAGTTTATTCACGCTCAGGTCCAGCTCTCTCAGGTGTGACGGGTTTGATTTCAGAGCTGAAGTCAGGATGAGACTCTGTTTCTCTGTAATACTGCAATAACTCAGACTGAAGACAGAGAAATAACAATAGTTTACATCTATGATGATCATCTTATTAAAGAGCTACAGCAGCATTTAGTTTCCAATAGTCTGTTTTAAAACCCAGTCACACTAGTTCTGTGCGCTGGAGGACACTGACTACGTTTACATGCAGCAAATAACCCGGTTGCGAACGGCCATTTAAACACCGGCAAAAACCCGAATATGCTCATATCCCGGATTTTAAAAAACGGGATATTATACCTGGGGTACCCCTTTTCTAACCCGAATTTTTGGTCATGTAAACGCGTATCGGCATATCCCCATAGTGATTTGTGTTCTGCGCATGTTCTATTCGCAAGGAATCTTGGTCTTTTGAGTAGAGAAACTTCTCAGCGCATACAAAAATCCACGTACAGTATACCGAAAGTAAACATGGCGAGACGCAGGACAGCATACTTCGAGCGAGGTCAGTAACGTTACCAGCATCAAAGCGCAAACAAAGGTGATCGCTATCTGCCCCGAACTATTCATTATCCGCATGCTGCTGTTGTTGTTGTCTTTGGATACAGGAAGAAGAATCGGAAATGACGCATATTGTGTCTTAAGGTTGTCTGTACGTCCAGACGCTAACCGCGCGTCGCCATTTACATCAGGAGAAACGAATCGGTTACCTAACGTAACCTCGGTTCTCTCTAGATGAGGGAACGAGTATTGCGTAAGCTAGCTTACGCTACGGGAAAGATTCATCTTTGCTGAGAAGTTGAAGCCAAAAAATTATTCCATAATTTTGTAATCATTGTCAACGCAGTCTCTTCTGAGGCAGACCATGAGCGGGCTAGCTAGCGGCTCATTGGTTCGCTCAGAGAGAATGCACGAACCTATGGGAGAGCGGCGCTGAGTCCGCGCCCAATGAGCGGACGGCGCTCGCTCACTGCGTCACAGCCCGCCAAAAGGGGCGTGGCTACAGTGTATAAAGGTAGCTCTCCCAGCTAGTTCGTCGATTCTGTAGCATGAAGCGAAACGCTAGTGGCGCAAGCACGGCCAGGAACGCAATACTCGTTCCCTCATCTAGAGAGAACCGAGGTTACGTTAGGTAACCGATTCGTTCTCTTACGAGAGGTTCTCTCGTATTGCGTAAGCTAGCTTACGCTACGGGAACACCTGGTCAACGCCGTGCGCGCTAAGTAACCACTAAGCATCCCAGGGGGAAAACACCGGGGGAATCTTTAAGTGGATGAAGATAATAAGGCGGCCAGCATAGCGGCCGTTATCATCTAGTGCAAAACGCCCTAAGGCGGCCGGCGAAGCGGGCCGTGATGTGTAATGCATAAGCACATAGGGGAACACAAGGGGTGAGCCGGTTGTGATGGAACTCCCGATAGTGCGGCTTTCTATAGGAGAGCTGTGAGTACTAGACCGCCAGAATTTTAGCCTGTAAGGCTGGAACTTCCAAGTTATAAAATCTGACAAAAGTGGAGGGGGAGGCCCATCCCGCAGCCACACAAATGTCGTGAATGGAGATTCCGCAGGACCATGCCCACGATGAGGCCATGCCTCTGGTGGAATGAGCCCTGATGCCCAAAGGGCAAGGCAGGTCTTTAGCGGCATAAGCAGAGGCAATCGCGTCTACTATCCACCTGGATAGAGTCTGTTTCGAGGCGGCTAATCCCTTGGTGCGGCCACCGAACGACACAAACAGCTGCTCTGAGCGTCTGAACGCGGCAACGCGTGTAGTGTACACTCTGAGAGCCCGAACCGGGCAGAGGCGGTCAGCGTCACGTTCGCTATCGGATGCAGGCAGCGCCGATAGAGAGATCACTTGCGCCCTGAAAGGGGTACCAATCGCTTTTGGAACATAACCGTGTCTAGGTTTCAGAATGACTATGGAGTCATTTGGTCCAAACTCCAGGCACGCGGCGCTCGAAGACAGCGCGTGAATGTCCCCCACTCGTTTTACTGAGGCGAGTGCCGTCAGAAGAACGGTTTTTAGCGAGAGGTATTTTAGCTCCACGGACTCAAGTGGTTCAATCGGTGGGGCTTTCAGGGCTTCTAGAACTATAGAAAGATCCCAGACCGGCACCGTAGGGGGGCGAGGGGGGTTCATCCTTCTGGCTCCCCTGAGGAAGCGGATGATAAGCTCGTCTTTGCCCAGAGACTGGGCGCGCCGGGGTTCAACGAACGCCGCGACGGCTGCCACGTAAACCTTAAGAGTGGATGGGGACCTGCCCTTATCCAGCATCTCCTGAAGGAACACGAGCAAAGACGAAACCTCGCACGTCCGTGGGTCCAAATTTTTGTCGGTGCACCATTTGGAGAACACAGACCATTTTGCAGCATAGAGCTTTCTGGTAGAATCCGCTCTGGCTGTTTGATCGTGTTCAGAACCCCTTCTGGCAATTCGACGCGTAGTCGTTGGTCACCCATGCATGAAGCGGCCAGTGCTGTGGATGGGGATGCCAGATCGAGCCGCGGGCTTGAGTGAGGAGATCTGCTCTGATTGGAATGGGCCACGGGGCTGTCTGTGACAGCCGCGTAAGCTCCGGGAACCAAATCTGATTCTCCCAGCGCGGGGCTATGAGGAGCACCGAGTGGCGTGAGTCCCTGATTCTCTGAATGACCTGCGGTAGCAGAGAAATCGGGGGAAAAGCATAGAGCGGGCGGCGGGGCCAATCCTGGGCTAGCGCGTCCTCGCTCTTTGAGAAGAATATTGGGCAGTGAGCGTTCTCTTCTGACGCGAAAAGATCTATCTCCGCTCTGCCGAATAGGCGCCACAGCGTTTGGACTGTTTGAGTGTGCAGGGACCATTCTCCGGGGGAGACCAGGTTCCTGGACAGCATGTCTGGACCGTCGTTCAGATGGCCCGGTACGTGCGTCGCTCTGAGCGAGAGCAGGTGACTCTGGGACCACAATAGGATGCGGCGTGTCAGATGAAAGAGATTCTTGGATCTGACGCCGCCCTGACGGTTGATGTATGATACCACGGCCATATTGTCGGAGCGAATCAGGACGTGGTGACCGTGTATGCGCGGGAGGAAAAACAGCAGCGCGTTCTCGACCGCGATCATTTCCAGACAGTTTATGTGTAGGGAACTCTCGTGGCTCGACCACTGGCCGGCGGCCGGTGAGCCCTCGCAAACCGCACCCCAACCCGAGTTGGATGCGTCTGTCGAGATGACTTTCCGGCGAGAAAAAGTCCCCATGGTAACGCCCCTCTGAAACCACTCGCTTACTGACCATGGCTGCAGTGCAGTGATACATGTCTGAGTGATCTTGATCATCTGGCGGCCCGTCGTCCACTCGTGGTGGGATACGCGGCTCTTTAACCAGAGTTGAAGGGGGCGCATGTGCAGAAGACCCAGCTGTAGCACAGCGGAGGCTGAAGCCATATAACCCAGCATCCTCTGAAACGATTTCAGGGATGTATGGGTACCCATCTGAAAAGAGGCGGCTAGGCGCTGAACACGGCGCGCGCGCTGTGTGGATAAGCGAGCCGTCATAGTGACAGAGTTCAAATCTATTCCAAGGAACGAAATAGTTTGACTGGGCTGGAGAGAGCTCTTTGTCCAGTTGACAGAGAGTCCCAGCGCTTCCAGATGGTTGAGGAGAACTGTGCGGTGCGACAGAAGCTCCGTCTGGGAATCTGCTAGAATCAGCCAGTCGTCCAGATAATTCAGTATGCGCAGCCCCTGACTTCGTAGGGGGGCGAGCGCTGTATCCATGCACTTCGTGAATGTACGGGGTGCTAAGGATAGGCCGAACGGGAGAACGGCATACTGGTAAACTTGACCCTCGAAGGCGAAACGTAGGAATGGCCTGTGATGAGGGTTTATCTGGATCTGAAAATAGGCGTCTTTCAGGTCTAGAGAGATGAACCAGTCCCCCTGGCGGACGTGCGCGAGGAGTTTCTTGACTGTGAGCATTTTGAACGGTCTCTTCATGAGCGCTTTGTTCAAAGCCCTGAGATCTAAGATCGGCCTGAGGCCGCCGTCTTTCTTGGGAACCAGAAAATAACGGCCGTAAAACCCCGACTCGGTCATAGATGGCGGGACTCTCTCTATAGCGCCCTTCTGCAGTAGCTTGGCTATTTCTAAGCGAAGCGTGTTCATAGCAGCCGGGCTGACAGTGGATTCGAGCCGCACGCGCGAGCGTGGCGGGCGGCGACGAAACTGTAATCGATAGCCATTCTTTATTATGCTTAAAACCCACGGGGAGATGCCGGGGATGGCTTCCCACGCTTCGTAGCATGCGGCTAGCGGCTGAATGGCGATTTCGCCCTGATTGCTGCACATAGCGGGCTGGACACTGGGTGTGGACGCGCTTATAATGTGGAAGGCAACGGGACTTACACTCAGAGAGGAGTTTATGGGCCGTGTGACAGAGCGGGCAGAGGGGGGACACGCGCACGGGCTCGTGGGCGTGCTTATGTTCTCTGCTACTGGAGCGGATAGAGCTCGCTCCGTGAGAATGGGCTCTGTGAGAGACCCTGGGCATATGGTGCTTGTGTGTGTAAGTGAGCACATGCTTGTGGGCACATTTTTTACACTTGAGGCTTTTATGCTCTTTTTGTGAACTCTCTGGGTAGCCGTGAAAACGGCTTTTAGTCGCTCGCAAGCGGGCAGGGAAACCGGCTTGATTGTGGCGTTGAACACTACTGTAGTCGGCGGTGAGACGGGGACTAACAGAGGGCGAAGCTTTGACGGCGGTCCGGCCGCAGCGGGAGAGAGCCGTCTTTTTCTCAGCTGTGCTAGGCAGACTTCTGCTGATCGGGCTTCAGCGCGATCTTGGGTCGAGGCCCCCGGGGAGGAGGCTGTCTGCGGCGGCTGTCAGAGCGAGAGCGAGGGCGGCCGCCCTGTCTACGCTGGGGCTGCTGAGCTTGCTGAGGCGGGCGCTGCTGTGGGGTTCTGGCAGGTGGCTCCTGAGAGCGGCCTGCCGAAGAGCTAGAGCGGCGGGGCAGGAACAAATTCATGGCCTGAGTCGCTTTCTGTAC